TGTTCTGTTTTGCTTTGTTCTGTTCTCTTTTGTTTTATTCTCTTTAAAATAAAATCAAACAAAACATTAGTCTCCATCTTAAAAGGAAAAAAAAACTATCAGTTTTCCACATAGGAAATGATAAAACATCCTGATAAGATAAACTAAAAAATTGATACCTCATAGTTAATAATTCCTTCTAGGGTATTATTAAAATCTACTATCTTCACATTGTCAATATTCTTATCTGATTAATTATTCTCAAAGAAATCAGTTCAGAATTTTTAAATTTTAAAATTCTTACGTAGAACTGAGGTAAGCATAATACTTGTCTAATACTGGCCCATGGCCAGCTGCTTTGTTTACTTTTTAAAGATTAGCAGGGACCATAGGCCAGCTCAGTGGAATAGCACCAGTCTAATATGCACAAGGCCCTGGGTTCAACCTTTAGCACCGCACCGAAATACACACAAACATACAAATGAACATCCCTGAAACTATTCACTCCAGAACAACAAATAGAACTTTGGCAACAATTGACATCTGCCTCTGCACACTTCTGTTAAATCCTCACGTCTGCCTCTCAGAGATAATCACTGTGCTGAATTGGCTCTATCTTCTTCCTTTCACCATCAGGTTTATACCTAAATTATATTTTTTATTAAGATTCATGCTTTTTGCTGTACGTAGGTTCACTTCATTCATTTTCACTACTACATGACATGCTATTGTGTGATAATAGAATAACTTATGTTTCTTCTTATCAATGAACATTTGGGCTGCGTTGTGTCAAGCTTTTGCTATTATAAGCAATAACACTACAAACATTCTTATGCAAGTTTCTAGGTGCATGTTTGCTAAACTTCTCTCATGTGGAAATTAAAACGCTAAGTCATAGTGAATTTAGATACTTAATGTTAAAAGAGAATATAAAATTGTTTTCTAAAGTGTTTGAACAAATTTCATACATATGAAGGAAGTAAAAAGATCCTTTTTTAAAATTACCTTAAATTCTGTCAATGAAATGGATGATACGGTATCTCATATGGTCTTGAGTTAAATTTCTTTGAAAGCAAATGAGATTGACATCTCTTCATGTTTATTAGACTTATCTGATTTTTTGTAAAGTTTTTACATCTTGCTATCAAAGGACAGAGGATATATTTCTCCTTAACTAGGCTTCGATATTCTTCAATAAAGTTTTATTATGATCACCCCCAGGTCTTATTGATCCTTAATAAAATTCATGTTTGTTAGCTGGGTATGGAGGTACATACCTGTAATCCGAGCACTCTGGGAGGCTGAGGCAGGATTACAAATTTAAGCCCAGCCTGTACAATTTAGCAAAATCCTATCTATGAATGAATGAATTCTATATATGGAGCATAGTGTGAAGGCCTTTGGTTCAAACCCTAGAATTCCCCCTTCCCCAGAGAAAACCATGTTTGTTGTTGTTAAAGATGGTGTCTCTTACTTCTTCTATAAATACGACTGATTTCTATATATTAATGTTATGTTCACCCCCAATGGTGACCTCTCAAAATCCTATTACTTCTAGGGCAAGTTTTTTCTCTTTATTTTTTGCTGTTAAGTAAGACATTCGCAAAAAATGGCCTTTATTTTCTCTTTATCAGTCTTTTTTTTTTTTTTTTTTTAAACCAGAGACCAGGAAACACTTGTCAGACAGGTGCTTATGCCACTGAGCTAAATCCCTGGCCCTTCTTTACCAATCTTGGACTGTGCCTCTGTTTCTTTCTCTTGGATTTGATACTGACACCTCCAAAGTAACCACAAGTACAAGTAACAATGGTAGAAATTCTCTTCCTTATTCCTGACTTCAAAGGAAAATGCTTAGAGCACATCCCAAATTAAGATAAAGTTTCTTTTAAATATTTTTGTACACATTACCAAATAGAGAAAATTCTCTACTACTAAGAGTTTTCTTATAAACCAGTGCTGAAGTTTATTAAATTTCATATATCTATTTAGCTCCTTTAGCTAAGGATATCAAGATTTATTTTCCTTAAATTTTTTTTTTCTTTTTGAGAGAGGGTCTCGCTATGCAGTTCAGCCTGGTCTTGAGCTCACTTTGCAGCCCAGTGGTCTCAAACTTGCAACAATCCTCCTGCCTCAGCCTCCCAAGTGCTGGGATTACAGGCATGAGCCACCACGCCTGGCTGATTTTCCTTAAATTATTAATGTAGTTAATGGCATTTATATGTTTTTCTGATATTAAGCTACCCATTTGGAGATGACCCCAACTGGTTCATAATAAATCATCTTTTCAATATACTGTCAGACTCCACTGCTATTATTTTCTTTAGGATTTTTATGTTTATCTTGTACTATGAGTGAAATAAATCTATTCTTTTCCTTTCTCTTACAGCTCTTGTCTGTTGAGATATCAGTGAACCTCCTCAGAATGAGCTGTGAGTATGCTTCCTACTTTTAATGAAAGACCTCACTGATTATTAGAAGGTCTGTTCATAAAAGCAGAGGTCTTCTGGGTTTTGTTTTTGCTTCTTTGTAGAAAGATTTTAACATGTTAAGTTAGTTAATTTTAATTTGTGATGAGTAATGTAACAAGACTACTCAGGATTTCTATTTTCAAATTAATGTGTTGGTGTATAATTTTTTCTCAAAATTTGTCTATTTCATTCAATATAAAACTTGTTTTTAAATCCTTTTTTTATATCTTGAAGCATTTTAGCCTTTTCAAAGTAATGTGGTGCTTTTTTCTGCAAAAAGATTAATTTATAATCTTATCAGATGCTATTTTTTACTTTCAGCTGTCCAGAAAAATTCATAAAACTCCACTGCCTACATCATATACAATATGTCACCAGAGCACAAAAGATAAAGAGGCATATCTAATACAAGCCTAGAATCTTTTCAAAACTGTAAGACATCTAAATTTACTTTATCAATAGCCTATGCAGAGTCCTTTGTTTTGGCTACTTGTCTATGCTTTTTTTTTTTTTCCAGACACAGCTGAGGAATGGTGCCATATCACACTCTAATTATACACACATGTTCTAAATTTCAGTTGGTGCTGGCATAGTAATTACAGCTTTTCATACTTCATTGATAAGACTCAATGGCTATATCCAGTGTCAAGCAAAAAAAAAAAAAAAAAATTAGCCAGGCACAATGGTGAATGCTTATAACCTCAGCTACTTGAAGCAGAGGTAGGAGGATCAAAGTTTGATGTCAGCCTGGACAACTTAGTGAAATCTGGTCTCAACGTAAAAAATAAACAGGGCTGGGAGGTAACTTGGCAGAAGAGCATCTGCTCAGTGTACACCACTGCAACTCTTGGTTCAGTCCCAGCATAAAATAAACCTAATTCCTTTATGACACCTAACATTTACAGAGTCACAATATACTTTTACACAGAAAGCTAAATTTATAGAGAGGTTAAGGCTCTTATGTTTTAAACTGTATCTAACATTTTGAATATAGAATATTAGGAAAGTACGTTCTTTGGTAATTCCAGTCCACACATGAGAGACTGATTTTCTGGGGGACAGAGCTTTCCACATCAAACTCCATGCTGCCATGTCTGGACCCTGAAAGAGAGGATAAGAAGGGGAGCTGGATGCTGAGACCCCTTCTGACAGGCAGGAGCTTAGGGGGCAGCTAATTCCTAGACCAGGGCTTCTCAGGCTTTAGCATGCATTCGAATTCTCTGTATACCTTGTTTAAACACACTTTGTAGTTACACAGGTCTGGAATGCAGTCCGAGAATCTGCATTTCTAAGAAACTTCAGGTGATGCTACTGTTGTTGGGTTCTTTCAGATGGCTTCGGATGAGGGACTTTTTAGCCAGATAGCTGCTGAGTTCTCAAGCTCTGTCTCTTTGCAGTTAGTAAACATGATTTTCACACACAAAATGAAGCTTCTATGGAGAGATGCCACAAGTGTGTGTGAACTTCTAGTTTGTCACCAGGACATTTCAGTTGGATCATCATCTGACTGCTGTGCTAGGCTACTCTCAGGAACACTGCTCATCACAAGAGCTCCATCTAAATGCAATTTTCACACAGACGTTCGAAAGGGAGTAGGACTAGGTTCTATCACTCCATTACCTGTGAATGAATTGTTTCTCTACAAAAATATATCTTCGAGGAAATGCACCTTCTGTGATCTCAGCCTTGGGACAAACAAGCAGCTACCACATCCTTGAAATGAGGCACCAGGGGCAATCAATTCATTCTCCATGCTGCCCACCACCCCCCTCCCCAATCCTCAGGAGACTAGAAAGATACTTACTGAGGAAGAGAAGGTCCTCCTCCTGTACTGCCCAGAGAACATTAGTCTCTGGTGTAAATAAGAGAGGCAAGTTCATTAAACTCACAGGTCTCTAATTAACCCCTTATGCCCTCCTGGTTGGGGCTGACTTTAAAGCAGATGTTTTGTGTGCATCATTGCCTACTTAATGCAAGAAATATATTTGCAAAGTGGATTGTAAGTCAAAAACTGTTTTTGCCTTTTAAGTGAATGAATGTTTTAAATATACTACAGAGGCTGGGGGTATAGATCAGTGTAGAGCACTTATCTAACATTTCCAAAGCTCTGGTTCAATCACCAGCACCACAAAAAACAAACAAGAAATATTAGCTTTTTAAAAGAAAACAGTATAAATTATTCTGTACAATCACCACTTTGATAAATAGCTGGATTTTTAAATGCTGTTTATATAAAATAGGATATAAGGTAAAGTAAATTTGAACAAATAAACTAAAACAAGTTCTGTAGTTTCAGATTAAGCATAATCCTATATTTATTAGAAAAAGGATTATCTTACTTAGCTTTTCAGGAATAAGATGCTTTTGGCAAGCTTTGAATTATAGTTTAATTCCTTGGTACAATAAAAAATACCTTTCCTCATTTTGTGACTATCAGTCCTTACTCTTTCAATGAAACACTTCTAAAACAATGTCTATCTGTGACTATTTCATGTAAAACATTCTTTGTTAAACTATTAACCAAATTTTTCCCTTTCTTCATTCAAAGGATACTGTCCAAAATTAGTTGAGTGAGAGCACGGTATGCTGACAAATCAGACATTTCAGAGATTTGGTTGTAGGAAAAATCCACCTTCTGGTAAGAAAAAGAGAACAATATTTTACTTATTATTTTTCATTCATACTCATCACAACAATTAAATGAACAAGAAGGTACCTCTGGCTTTGGAGTTAGAGCTCATCACTGAGAAAACACGAAGGCTAACACACACGTACCACTGGCCATTTCCTCACCAGCATCTGTTGTCTGTCCACTCTAAAGGACATGAAGGAAGTGAGCCCTCCCACAGGAGATCCCAGTAGCCTAAACTCTTCCCCTTCCCACAGCCTCTCTCTACTTTTGGAATTTATTTTCAACTCTTGCTCTTTCTTTACCATTCATCTCCATTCCACAGTCACCACCATGTTTTTCGTGCTCTTTGATACCCAGTGAAACGTATCCAGTCTGTTTCTATGCAAAGCTTGCTGCCTTTGCCTGAGTCTTTTCTGATCCTGTCGTGGCATCTTCTCCCAAGTCACCTAGCTGCCAGAATAGTCGATCTTACTCATCCCTCAAGCTACACCTGTTCAACTTGACATTTCTTAAAATTGACTGTTTTAAAGAAAGAACTTTCAGCAACATCTGTTGTCCCTAGTCAAAACATTAGAGAAGGGGCTGGTGCTTTAGCTCAGTGGCAAGGCATATGAGGTCTTGGGTTCAGTCCCCTGCACCAACATCGAGAGGGACCGGAGGGGTTCGGGGGAGAGAAGAAGAAGAGGAAGAGAAGGAGGAGGAGAAGGAGGAGGAGGAGGAGGAGGAGGAGGAGGAGAGAGAAACAAAAAATTTTTGAATCATTGCTTTGATAACTTTCTGGGCACCATGAAATCATTTTCTGAAAAATTATCAAGTAATTTGTATTATACACACTACTCTTACTTTTTCATGACCTCTAAAACTGTGATTCCACCCAAAAACTTTACTAAGGTTGTTTTAGCCATGCATTAAATGCTAAATACTCTAAATACAAAAATAAATAATAAAAAAATTGAAAAAACATAAGTAGCAAAAGTAGAAAGCTGCTTAATTACAATATAGCAACAGAACGCAAAGTAAAACACAAGTTTGCAACCTATTGAAGCAGGAGAAATGTACAATTCGTTAAGTCAACATAAATTCATACAATACAAATGGCAGGTATATAACATGCACACTGGGAAATAAGCAGCTAGACATGAGGTAAATGGAGTTTAGCGTTCATGTTTTCTCCTTATGTAATAATGGTGGACTGGAAATAAACATATGGGCTTACTTGTAACTGACACTTATCCACCAACACCTAACTGTATCTCTGACAGGGCTCTATGTCAATACCACTCCTTCTAAATACCTATGATGCTAGGTTTCTTGAAAGATTTTAAAGGAGTTGTGATGTTGTTCTCAGTCCCCCTGGAACCCACATCTTACAGGAAGTAACCATCAAATCAAATGAACACTTCTCACCTCTTAAGAGCAAAAGCATTGTAAGAAACCTAGGAGTACAAGCACAAGCCCCTGCTCTTTATAAAGAAATGCATGCTCTCGCTGGGTAGTGGCAAAAGGCTTGTATATATTAAATAAAAAAAAAAAAGTAAATCTTCTCAAGAGGGTGGGACATAGGCCTGTCCAACCTGACTCTGGAAAGGTACAGACATGGGCTCTCAGACATAGCGTTCAATCTCAGTTCTCCTACTTCCGCAAAGGTCAACTAAGAAACTTAATTTTTCTGGGTTTTCAATGTCCTCATCTGTAAAATGGGCCAGCTGACTCACAGATTAACCAGGAGGATTAAACAAGAAAATGTGTCAAAAACTCCAGAAAGCCTCAATCATTCCTTCTCAGGTCCCTCTGGAGTTTGCATAAAGTTGAAACACCTCACACCAGGGCAGTTTGCACTTGGCAAACTCTTTACTAAAGTTACCAACATATTTGCTCTGAATTCTCCAAGAAGCTGGAACCTTAAAGATGTAGCATAAGTTGTTTTCAGTTGGCTGTGGGGTCTCTGGGGAGTGGGTAAGGCAGAGGCGACTGGAAGGGAGTGCAAGGAGGTTTCCCATGCGGAGGGGTCATACGTTACTGTGGCCAGTTTCCCTGGGGCTCAGAGCGAGGTGAACAGGACCGCAGAGCAAAAAGGAAATGGCCCTGCAAATACAGTTCTTGATACCTTGGAGACTTTGCAGTTCCACACTGAGTACCGAAGGGCCCCAATGTGACTGATTTGGACAAAGCCATGTCACTGTCACTCTGGGAATAACTCTAATTTCAAAAGAAAAAAATACAGTACTAATAAAAAAGGAATGATGTGAAACAATAGGGGGAAAGGTATTATTACTCTCCAAAGGGTAAGATCAAATTCTTCCGATCAAATAGATTTTCATATTTGTGGGGACCTCAGAGGAATACTTCAGATCTAAGTTAACTGGGTTTGCAAATAAATAGATAATAAAGAGCAGTAACTGACGTCCATTCCTTAAGATACACTTTATTAAACTGGATGTGGTAGCACAAGTTTGAAAGCCCAGCCTCTGGAGGCTGAGGCAGGAATGTCACTGTGAGTTCGAGGCCAGCCTGGGAGACATAGTGACTTGAAGGCCAGTCTGAACTACATGGGATACCTCGTCTCAAAAAATTAAAAAAGAACACATTTTATTAAATATCTGAATCCAACAGAGAAACACTAAACACAGCCTCTGTGATGATTCTCAAATTTGTCAACATACATATTAGAATTATTTGGGGGTCATCCAACATTTCCAAAGCCTAGTTTCACTTTGAACCACATAAATCAGAATCTCTAGCATGGAATCCAGATCTCAGTAGATGTTAAAATCCCAACAGGTCATTCCAATGTTCAGAAAATTTGGGGAACCTGTGCTCTACAATCTCTCATGATCTCTATATTTAAGTATGGGCCAGTAGCCAGGACATCAGCAGGAAAGCTATAAGAAATCAGTCTCGGGGCTGGGGATTTAGCTCAGTGGCATAAGCACCTGCCTTGCAAGCAGGCAGTTGTGAGTTCGATCCCCGGTACCGATAAAAAAGAAAAAGACAAAAAAAAAAAAAAAAAAGAAATCACAGTCTCTGTCTCATCCCTACCTGCCAGGCCGGCTGCTAGTTTTCACAAGAACCATGAGTTTGAGGTGGGGTGTACTCGGAGGTAGGAGATACAAAGTTTTATGGGGCAGCAAACTGTTCCCCCAAAATGCTGTGCACTGAAAGTTCATTTCTGCTTCAGAAGTAACGAAGCAAATGCCGAGAAGCAAGCATGGAAATCTGAGAGCACTGTTTATTTTTAAAAAGTAAAAGTTGGATACTCAACAAAGCAAACTTTAAACACCTGGGAAATTTTTACAAATTTTTTTTTAGATAAAACTGCTCTAGAAAAATATATGCAATAATGACTAATATTAAACAAGGGCACGAAGAGAACAGAAGGAAATAACTTCAATACTGGGTTTCTAGCAACACTTCCTAAAAAGTCTGTGGTGACAGACTGGCTTCCTTTTCCTTCTTTTTTATTTTGATTGGGATGCTTACATGATTTACCCCACAATATTCTGTCAAGTTCCTCCTTTAGTGATAGTTTGCTTATTTAACGTACTTTGAAAACAACTTCACACACGTAATTAGCACACTAATAAAACGTACCTTGAGATTTTTGGGTGGCTTGAAGTTGAAGAATGTAGTCAGTTTATTTTGAGAAGCGTTAAGTTCTAGAAGATAAGGCATGTAACTCACACAAGACAAATCTGGGGGGAAAGCAGACACAGCACAGCTCAGCCAATAAAATAACTTGAAAAAGTCATTTTAAAACAGCATATGTTACATCAGAATATTTTTACATTATGCCAATTACACGTACATCTTAAGTATTTTAGATGAGTGAAATAAATGAAATTTTTAAAAATGGGCAAAATATTTTTTAAAGTGTGGAAACTCCTCTGGTTCTTACCTGGGGCCTGCCCTTCTCTTCCGTCCCCCGGTTTCTGGGACATCCAACAAATGGCTGAAGTCCCTTGCATGGCCCTGCTTGCCCTTCCACACGCTGCTAACACCTAAATGCTTCCAAAATTACCAGCCTTCAAGGAAAGGATGAGAAACTAAAGCTTTAGATAATCCTCTTGATAATTAGCCCCTAAATAACTGAATTAGGTCTTTTCAGAAGATTGGAAATGCCACAATTAGGGAACTCTCTTTGTTGTAAATTCAATTTTGTTTTAGTTGGAATTAATCCTAAATCTCATTAATTATTTGACATGATTTAAATCATTGCTATTATTTTAATTTGACTCCAGATTGGTTCAAAATTACATTTGAATTTTGCATCTTGCCCCAGCAAATATCCTGAAATTTAGATACTAAGTAAAAGGACTACATGCTAATAGATTCCAAATGGAATTACATGCCAAACATAAAAGCTGTGAAGCATTGTTTTGCTTTTCTCTGCCACTTTACAGCAGCGGTACTTTGGGAAGGGAACGATCAGGAATAACCAGCTAATAAGAGTCACAGCCTTGTCACTACCAATAATTCATTTCATTACCTGCAAACAGTAACAATAACAGTATCTTTCCAGTTCTCTGACTCTGAAGTGTAGCTGAAGCTATTATAATTGCTCGGAGGAGGTCTCCTAGTAGGTGAAAGCAACCTCCACATCCAAACCCAAGCACTGCACTTCTACCTTTCACCGAGTGGTACACACACCACAAGAGGTTAGGGTGCTGGGGGAGGAGAAGCCTCCCCTGGGAGAGGTGGGGCAGGCAGTGTGCAAAGGCTTCCGGCCCCTTTCCTTCTCAAGAGACATTAAAGCCACAAAATCCCCATCAAACCACATCCTACATGTAATTGGCCCTAGATTAGATAATAAATTGGGACATTACCATTTTGGTACAAATGAATGAGCCAATCAAGAAGCTGCCTTGAGAGAAAACCTAAGGAGGAAGTAAATACTCTATGACTTGTGTCTATCTGTCCATTCTGAGCTCAGCTGTATGTCTGTCAGAGTAGTCTCAGCTCTATTAACTTCCAATGGATCCCAAACTCCTGTTGGAGCTGATCCTTTTGTCATACCGTGGATATCTGTCTGTAAGCAGAAGCAGCAGCTACGCAGTACATAAAGACAAGTGAGGGTGAATACATTTCACACTTTGTAGAGAGCCAATGTTTTTAAAAATCACCATGACAAATGATCTCTGGTCCGAGTGGCCAGATACCAAACTCCAGCATGCCACGTAGTCCCCACTCAGTGTAGTGACCTCCTTGTCCACCAGGTGGCAGGAGCACCTCACATCTACATTAAGGTTCTCAAAGTGAGGTTCTGAACCAGTTTTGTGAGCCTCAACCAAGAACTTAAGTCAAACTGCAAATTTTTAGGCTCATCCCAAATCTGCTGAATCAGATGCTCTGAGGGTGGAATCCGGATATGCGTTTGAACATCTCCCAAGATTACTCTGCTGCAAGTTGAAATTTAGTCTGCATCATCAGAACAGCACGAAGGTTGTCATCACAAAAGAGAAATACGCTGCTGTACCCAACACAAAGTAGACACTCAAAGATTTGAGAAATAAGTTAAGTTGGGCTGCCAGGATTACTAGAGACTGATCTGGGTGAGAAGAAAAGCCTTGACCCCAGCTGTGGACTCCCTGCTCGTGTGGCATGGACATGAAGACAAGTCACACTTTGCTTGGTGTTAGGACCAAGCTTAGTCAAAGCCTCCTCCTACCTCTCTGCAATCTCTTGTCCTTTGGCAGCCTCAGAAGTGTGGGGAGGGTGGAGCATTCCGGCCAATAACATGAAAAAAGTCTTTCTGATGATATGATCATCATATTCTAGGATTTGCTTTAAAATTACCTTAAGGTAGAGCACAGAGAGAAATAGATGAAACACAACTGTAAGCTGAAATTGGGCCACTGGCTGATAGCTATTGAACTTCAGTACACATGCCAGTATTCTCTCTATGCAGCTGTTTGTAATTTTCAAAACTAATTTTATAAAACTATAAAAAATTCAGTCTTTTTCATATGGGCTAAAATATTTCTTAGCTATTGAAAAGAGTGAATTTTAACTATTAGAGTCATACAGGAAGGGATCGGAAAATAGAAAATCATATCAGCAACATCTGATTTAATCAGGAGAGAAAGCAGGTCAGAAATAATGATTTGCTTTCTTCTCTAGAAGTGTAAAGAAAAAAATTGTATGCTGTTAAAAACGAGACCAGAATACAGCAGCAAAAATCAAGCTTTGAAGAAGATGTGACAATTACATGACTAATTCCCTTAAATATGAACAAGGTGTTGTAACAAATATATAGAACTACAGATGGTAGAGTTGAGTTGAAAGAATCAACTAAACATGTAGAGAGTAAGAAAAGACAGAAAAGTAAATTTGTGAACCCCTGGTGCTCAAATAGGAATAGAAATAGCTAGACATGGTTGCAATATAAATACAAAAGTGAGCTAAATAAAAGAGTTCACTATAGAAAAAAACACTCATCTGCATTAAATAACTAACAGAAAGAAAGAAAAAAATTATCATTCAGGAAATATTGTAGAGATGATATCCGATCTTTTAAAAGGAAACCTAAAGCAAACATGCCCTCTCCTACTTTTATTTATCCTTGAGTGGGTATCGGCCGTATCATCATAGTGCAGACGCCTGCCTCCTCCTCACTCATCAGTCACTGATGCTTTTGAGGGAGAGGGAGCGTGGGAAGCAAAGCAGTAACAGGTAAACTGATCTACAAACCACTTATGACAAGTTTGGTCTCATTAAACCATGTTATATACTGCAACAGTTAAATTCTGCAATCAGCGCACAATCTGCTAAAATAACAATTCCATACCTTCAATTTTATTCACTGAAAGATCCAACTTCTGCAGGTGAACATATCCACTCAAAATGCTAATGTTGGTTAAGTCACAATCCTGAGAAAATAAAAGACTTTAATATTGCTTTGGAAGGTTAGTAGCCGGCCTTGTAGTATCTGGAAATCATTGTCAATGGAAAGAAATCTAGAATTTCTTTCAAAAATACAGAGGTGAGCAAACAATATCTGAAGCCTATACTAATAGGATCTCAAAACAGACTATAGGCCCCATCAAAAAAAATCCCTGTGAAGGAAATAATAGCTTAGAAAATGTGTGTTGTTAGCAACACGACAAGAAAAGGCAAATTAAAACAGTGTTCATGAAGACCTTTACAGCACAGTTTTATACTTTTTTTAAAACACACAAAATAGCAATAAAGACAAAGCTTTTATCTAGTAAAAGAAAAAGCAAATGCCTAGAATTTAAATGCCATTTTAAGGAGAGTTCACACCTAATCAGGAGATCATTAATACTACTACTTTCATAAGAGCTCTTTCCATTTTCAAAGCTCTTTCACAAGAATCTCAGCTGATCAAACACATTTATGGGATACATAGGGCAGATTATTCTCAGCTTAGAAATGAGGTACAGAGAGGTACGTTAAGGTGCCCCAAGTCACAGAGCAATTAGAGAGAAACAATATTCAACTTTCCTCAGCCCGTCTTTAAAATTCACTCCTGGAAACTTTGCTTCTAGGGAACTTCAAGTGAGGGAATCACATCCTTAAAAAGGAATTTGAGGGCTGGGGATTTATCTCAGCAGCAAGGTCGTGAGTTCAATCCCTGGTGCCAAAAAACAAACAAACAAACCAAAAAAAGGAATTTGAGCCTGTGGAACAAAGATTACTATGATTATATATGTCGTGTTGTTACAATCAGAAAAAAAAAACAAAGAAAAATCATTATAAGCAAGCTGTCATATACGATAATGATGACTGTGTAATGCAGACTGCTAAAAGAATAATACTGAATATGTACTATGTACTAGACATCAATGAGCTTGGCATGATTCAAAATAAAATGATAAAATAAGATATATTGTGTCCTTAAGAAATGTATGACTTAGAAGAAAAAGATATGTACACAAGTAATAAAAGGAGGTAAAAAAATAATGTTTAATGTAAGTAAGATTTAAAGGAGGGAAGTCATTGAACCAGAACATGTATTCAGTAAGACAGGTTAATAAGGCCAAGTAATTCAACACGTAAAATCTCCAACGTAAGGAGGTCAGTGAAAAAATAAATTAAGCTTCAGTCTCTCCAGCTGGAATAAAATTCAAAGGATTGCTTTTTTGATAGATCAATTTAAGGCATGGTACCACATGCATAAGTAGAATATTGATTGAAAGGGATGAGTGTAGGGCTGTGCAGGCTGCTGGAACTGCATCGTGCTGTGACCTAATGCGGTGCATGTGCACCTGTGTGTTATTGCCTGGCTGGCTGAGTCATCCATAAATAACGTTGTAAAGTAGTAAGAGTAAAAGATTATAACCTTCTTTATATGTGTAGTACCAGGAATTGAACTCAGGACCCTGCGCTTGCCAGGCAGTCACTGCACCTCTGAGCCATATGACCAGCAAGATTCTAGCCTTATTAACCTGATCTCAAACAACACACCACAACACAGGTGAAAATAATTCAACATTCCTTGAATAGTTTACTGATTCAAACCCAAAACAGTCTTCCCTGAATTAGCCTGTCATGAAGCCAAACATGGTGCTACCATACAGTTGCTGTGCTTTCTTTTTCTTTTTCTTTTTCTATTCTAGGCTGACCCTGAAATCGCTATGTAGCCCAAGTTGGCTTCAAACTCAAGGCAATCCTCCTGCCTCAGCCTCCCAAGTCCTGCGATTACAGGCATGTGCTACTATATCTACCAGTGGTTTTTTTTTTAAACACGTGTGTCTATGTTTGCTAATCTCTAAGTATTTAACAGCTTTCAATTTAAGGAAGTTAAAAGAGTTAACTTTGCTAGGACTATAAGGATACCAAGAAAGAAGCTGAACTCTGAAGAGTCTGCATTTTTAGGATAAACTCAGAGCCAAGATTTTGTGCCACTCTGTGACTAGTAATGAAACTTTGAAAACTGATGAATAGCAATAGATTTTTTTCTCCAATGATAGGTATCTTTTAGAAAGAAAATGCAGCTCAGAACGACTTATTTCTTGACATACTTAAAGGGAAAGTCAATATCAAAATACTTGGTTCCCTTGGATCAGATATAAATCTCAATGCTTCTTTCACTGATCAGAGAGAAAATTCTTAAAGTTTTTGATTGGTTGTACAGAATAAAAGTCAACCTCCTGAGGAAAAAGACATTGATTACTATAATATACACTACTTAAGATGAAAGAACTAGAGAGTGAAGGGAATGAAAACAAAAGAATTTGTGGGGGCTGATTACTGGATTGCTGCTGTCACAAAAGCTGTGCATACCAAAGAAGATGAGCATGGTCTGGGCAGTGTCAAAACCCAGGCAGCCTGAGATGACCCTGTTATACTCACTGACAAAGTTAGGTTGAGGTAGACCTGTTCAGTCCCAGAGCCTGAGCGCCCCAATTCATGCAAGGCCTTGGCCACAGCCTGCTCTGTCAGGACCCCATCAAATTCTTCCTGAAAAAGAGAGAGAGAGAAAGAGATAGACAAAGACAGGATTGCCCCTAGGAAAGAATCAGTCTACCCTGTGATATCTAGCACTAATCCACAAGTTATCATTTTTAAAGAAAATTCTATGTTAAGGACACATAAGCACTGTATTTAATTAAATAGGTATATAATAGGTGTTTTATTGTCCCTGATATTTCAGTGGTCACTTGTATTAGTCATTCAAAGGTAAGTGAACATAGTAGCCATAGAAACATTAGTGTCAATGGTGATTTTTACCACTGATCAAGTGTCCATTCTGAGCACTGCATAAGAATTCTTAAGGAGCAACTCATAAACCCTTTTGCCAACTTTCAGGCAAGTATTCTTATCTCCATTTTAAAGACAAAGAAACTAAGGCTCAGAGGCCATTTTGCCTGAAACTGCACAGTCAGTGTGTTGTAGAGATTGAATAAAAACCCAAATATACCTGACCGCTGGGCAATTCCATCTTGAAAGCTTTCCCATACCCCAAAGGATGGTTACATCAACTGACGGCAATTAATTCTCTAAATCTGGTATTAATCCTTGGTTGATTGCTTTTTCATTAATTTTTCTGGATACATGTAACTTGCAAGGCTTACTAAAAGAATACTAGTCATTTCTGCAAGGAAGCTGGCCCTTAGTCTACATAACCATCCCATGAACCACTGGTCAACCAACATGCCCTTTCCTAATAATGACAGAAGAAATGACATGTGGATAAGTGTTGTTTGTGCTGCCTCCAACCCTGTAATGACCAACACATTAACAATGATATCAACATGATAACAGAAAATACAGTAAGCACTTCAGTAACACCTATATACCTAACCACAATGAGTATATGAGGCCAAAATATTGTATATTTTTTCCGGGTCTTCTATATTGATTCAGGAACCAATAACATTGCCCTGGTTGTTGGTACTTAGGATGTAAGAATTGTAGGCTTGTGCTAATTAAAATGACTACCGGCAGATTTCCACAGATCACAAGAATTTTGTCTACATGACAGCACATGCACTTTGGAATTGGGTGGGCGTGGTTTGAACCTCATCTTTCCCTTTTTGAAGATGTGACTTTGGGAAGCTAAGGTTTTCTCTAAGCCTTCGCATATCTTCAACTATAAATAGGAAATGTTATCTTCTTTGAAGAGGTTCTGGACACAACACCCAAAGAATGTTGTTTCGGTGTATTGATTGCTAAAGGCACTTGAAAAATGTCAAATGGAAGAAGAGGCTTTCTCTGAACTCTTTTTATCTACCTAAAGACAGATCTTCCAAAAGGAACTCGGTGGTCATAAATCCCTTTCCTGGGAGTTTCATCAACCAGAGGAGATTGATCCTTATCACAGGAGAAGAGAAGAGAGCTCGGCACCACATTCAGACAAATTCTATTACAACTATCACCTCTCCCATCTATTCTTCTAAGGGCCCATACATCTTTCCTACAAACATTTACTCTGCCTTGAATAGCCTCCTAACATGTTATGTAAGTTCTCACATTTCACTGGTTTTTGGAGAGTACTCACTTTTTTTCCTGTGTTGCTCCTATGTATGAATACCAAAAATTAACAACTCTGTATACCCACTGTCATGTTAATTTGCCTGTTGCTGGTGTAGTTCATGGACCAAACTATCACAGCTAGGAGGATAAAAGGAAAGGTTTTCCTCCTCTCCATCTCCTTTTATTGTTTTGGGAAGAATAAAAACAAATAATGTATTTAAAGCTCTGAAAACAATGCCCACAACACAGCAAGTGTTCCTAGTAAGTGACGGTTACTACATTCTGATGACATAAATTCCACATCTTAATGTGTCACTCAACTACACCAATCAACCCGTTCACAAGACGGGAAGGATATTTGCTTTTCTAAATAAAGCTCCACTGTCATTTGTTCCATCTGGGCCCCTCAAGTTCACCCATTTCCTGGAAATGAGAAGTCATTACATAGTAAGCAGATGCCTGACAGGGAGAGGAGCCACACAATTAGTATTCTCCCAAATTCCCAAGGCAAGACCCCGCAGTGCAGCCCCTCACACCTCCCCTGGCAGGGCCCTGCCTTCTTCAGGTGTGCAGAATGAACAGGCCTTTTTAGTCCTCTTTCCACTTCCCCTCCTGTTCCGTGTTTCTGAGACTCCAGCTATCTGGGCTTTTTGTACAGCACCTTTCCTTCCCTATTCCTCTAAACAGTCCTTTCCAGTTTCCTTTCCTAACTCTTCATTTGCCTGCTGCTGAAAAGCCTGTACCTCTGGGGTTCTGTTCTTGTTCTTTCTTTCCCTTCCCTTGCCTTCCTGGATGATATCAACAGGCTCTGATGCTAAGGTCTTAAGTTTCCTACTCTGAGACCCCTCCACTTATTTCCAGTCATATGCTTCCTGTAGCCAACTCCTAAAGGCCCAGCTCCATCTGTTCTGATTCCTGTTACACATAATGACTGGACTACTCTCCTCCCACCCCTAGTTCATATCACGGGCCTAACAGTCAGCACAGAGCTCTGACAGTTAGGGAGAGTTCCATCTTAAACATTCTAAATGTTTCATCTTTAGTTTCCTTCCATTCCCAACTTTAGTTTCCTTCCAACCCAAACTCTTCTTACTCTCCCCTAGACACTGCTGACATCTTTTCACAGTCTCAATTATCCTCTCATCTCACCCCACTTGACCATCAGAGCAGTTTCCTACTGTTTTGAGGCCCAAGTCTATGTCGGTACAACAGCACAGGGCTCTACCCTAACTGCTTCTTCCTGCTCTTAACTGTAATTCTTGAGGAGGAAAAACTGCCAGCTGCCCACCCATAGCTCACCTCTCCGCATGCCCTGAGCCCACTTCCTGTAATCCCTGCCCCTGAGATGCCATCGTGCAATCTCTGGATATAACACTACACAGGCTGAATTGCTAGGATTTATTCACATTCTTATCTCCTATGAGAGCAAGGACCATGCAGGTTCTCAATCATGTTATCATCTTATTCTATCATTAGTGTTATTATTTATGCCTCCTATAATTTTTGAGAGCCTACTCTGTAAGAGACACTATATTAACTTTAATATAGAGGTTCTCATTAAATTTGACGTCCATAACTATCCCATGAGTAGGCATTATTATCTACAGTTGGTTATTAGCAAAGACTAGTTTTCATGAATCAAATTTTGGGCCCAGACATTTGGCTTTATATAGTCAAAGAGCGATTCCTATATAGCAATCATTCCATAAGTGTTTATTTAGTGAAGGTTAACTTAATTACAATTACTCAGTGGGATATAATCAGTATATAAAAACATTTAAATTAATATTTGTTTTAGTACCAATAACATTATGCTAAGGTTTCCACATATAGGATCTCACTTAATTCTCACAATTTTCCTAAGAGCTAGGTATTATTAGAATCCCCATAGTATGGATGAAACATAGGTAGATTAATGTAGTCAGGGGTTGTGAGAACAGTCAGGACACAGAATTTATAATACCATTTTATAATGATCATCCAGAGTTAAACACAAGAAAGTGTAGGCAATCTATCCACAACACTAAAGACCCAGAATTTTCAACCATGCGCCTGGATCCCACAGCAATATCCTGCATGAGTCCAGATGAAAACCTAGAGTTCATGGCAGTGCCTCCTACGAGTCCAACTGGAGGTCTAGAGCCCATGAGAAGGATTTAAATCAGTCTTTTCTTACAGATCTGCGCTGGGAAAGTCCAAAGGTCAGTGGTGGAAGCTAGAAAGTATATGCCAGCTGAGTGAAGGTGCTATCTGGTACATTGAGGGTTCTACACTGGAGCTGAGAAGTCATGCTCAAAATAAGGAGCAGGGCTGCCCTGAAAAGTACTACAGCCATCCTCAGCGACATGGAGGTCCCGAGCTCCTCCAACAATAAGAACAGTCAAGTACATGCCAGAAAGCTAGCATGAAAAGCTTCTCCTAGAGATTAAGCAGTACACACTTCTCCTCCAGAGCCAGGAAATGATGCTTGATGTAAGGACCAGAGCACCCCCAAAGTGAGCCACAGACACTCTCACCAACAAGGTTCCGAGCTTCTCTGATGATAATGGTCAAACTCACACTGGGGAAGCTAGTCATGACGAGCTCCTCCATGAAAACTAACAGCTCAAAACAGCAATGCTTAAGAGAAACTGACAATGCCTAACTCTTTTTCTCCATGTCTCTATTTATGCTGACAATTTTCTTCAGGTGGGCCATCTATACGCAGCACCATTCTGATTTAATTCAGCTGGTGTTAAGTTGACCACCAGTTTTTAATCCATAACAGTTAAGTAACTTGTTGAAGATCTCCCAACTAACAAAAAGCTAAACCAAGTCTCAAAAACAAATCTTTGTTTCCATAGGCAATGCTTCAAACAGTATACTATCTCCCTTCAATATTTAAGGGCTTCTGAAGTTTGAGATTAATTGCATTGTGAACATTCAATAATCATTATGACCATCACAACCTTATAACTTTTGACCAGGCTAAAGCATGAAAAATAAATCATTAAATATGAATATCCAAGTGTTTCTTTTCAAAACACTTCATCTTATCCAGCATATTAAAACTTACTATTGTTATGTTGTTATGTCCTCTTTTATCTCAATCTCTCCCTTCTTCATTAAAAAAATTATTTAATTATTTTTACTACTTTTTTAATTAAGGGGAAAAAATCAAAAAAATTAGCAGATATATTACAGTAATTTTTTGATTTCCTATTAACTTGATTTGAAGTCCTGTAATACTCCCACTATCTTGTTTTGACTGATTAGACTCTGTTCCGTTCTGTATGATAGTATCAAGTTTGAGAGTATAGGCAACTACTTTGAAGGCAATAAGATTCACTATGATGCCCATTCTGGTTTGACTATTATCTTCTTTTGAAGTGCTGTAATGTTTACAATGTTTAGTTTTTATTGGTCTTGTTCTCTACTGTTTTGTTCAACTTTATAATACCTAATGAGATAGACAATTCTTAAGGAAGCAAGAGGCATTATGGTAACCATTATTGATAACCTTGTTCTTTGTTTTTACATCATGTGCTATGTCTATCCTTGGTGGTTTTGACTGACAGCTTTGTTTTGTCATATATTATTTTATTCTCTTCCAAAAAAAGTAATAAGAACTACGGGAGTAATAAAACCCAAAATGTGTAAATTTTGTTGTAATAAAGAGAGGGAAAAAAAAGTGCTCTAAAGGATAGAACTGCAAGTTGTATCCTGTTAGGTGTGTTAAATAGATGACCATATTATTGTTATTGATTGGATCACTGAACACAACTGTTTGCAGTCTCATTGTTTGAATGTCTACTTTGTATGCTTTGATCCTATTACTTGAACAACTATTTCTAAGATGATAATGTGTAACCTATTTGGTGATTTCTTAGTTTGTTTTTTGTAGTTCTGTATTACTTGTACCCTTACACTGTTTTGTTTTGTTTTTTTCTCTTTTTCCTTTTAAATAAAATTTTAAAAAAAGAAAAAAAAAACCAAATAGTGGCAGTGCTAAACCGACACAGTCACTTGTCTCTGCTCCATACTACTGGTTCAATCCGTATTTTTGGATTTCTCTTTGCTTTGCAACCTTTCTCTTACATTTTTTCTATAGTACATGCATGCATGGCATGTGTGTGCGTGCATACTGGCATATGAGGATTTAATGTATATTCTTTTGTATGTCTAGTAATAATATATGTTTACAACCATGCTAATTGAGTACTAGAAGACTTTTGTTTCAAGTAAGGCAAAGAGCTTAGTACTTACAGCAACCCTTAACAGACTCTGATGGAAAAAGTAAATTCACAATGCAGAGAAGAGTGTGCGTTTTTAGGGAGGAAAAAGTGAAGCAAAGAATGTGCTTTTACTGCTAATTTGACAGAAATGAGTCCAAAGAAATGTAATTGTTGACTATAATACCGTATGAATAATGTTAATGACTACACTAGATTAATGTTACTAACTGTGGTGGGTTATGCTTATGTTAATAACTATCCAAGGTTTTTGTCTCTCATTTTTTCTGCATTTCAGCAAGAATAAACCTCTATCTCTCTGAAAAAAAAAAAAAACTTACTATGGTTTTCATATAATACTATGAAAACCCAAAAAGAAATACAGAACAAACATTAATGCTTATATGTAAGTAGAAAAAATAATGAACTTCTTCCAAAGACATCCTGCAATCCAAAAAGGAATAACTATTTCAAATCGACTTTGTCTATGAGTTGTTAATGGCATACAAAAGATAGATTAACAATGGTACTAATGAATCCCATAGCTGAAGACCATGTGTTAATTAGAATAATACAGTGTACCAGCGGTTCATTTACGAATTCCTTTGGGGTGGAAGCTGGTGGAAACCATACAAACATTTTGAAGTTGCAAAAACACCGTTACAGTTTTGTAATAATGGCTGTTAAAGGCACCAAGCCAAGTCAACAATATAAGTAATAACTTTCTATGGTCAATTTTAAGCAAAATCAGAGTGTAAGTAGCTCAAATAGGAGGAAAAAGAAAAGACAAAATGAAGGATGAGGGAGATAAGTTTCAAAGACAGCCAAAAGACATCACAGGAGGACTTGAAATGAGAAGAGTGTAAATGGTTAACAGAATCAGAATAACGGGAAATGTTACACGTAAGAGGAGGCAGACTAAAAAGACAAACTAGGAAAGGACTTTGTGAAAGTAAACAGGCATAACAAAAAGAAACATGTTTGGCTTAAAGGAAGAAAGGTGATTAAGAAAAGATCTAAGATGTTCAAAGGGAAAGTCAGAAGAATACCCAGATGGGGGATACTGGAAACATTCCGTTTCCCCTTATTATGTCTACCTCTGAAAAGAATTTGAAACAATTCATACTATCAATGAGGTAGCCAAAACAAGGAGGAAAATCTAACAGTACTGAAAGGAAATAAATCAATTTATGTTTCTGAAAGGAAGCAAACAATTTATTAGAAACCAAGAGAACAAAGTGACATGAGAAATGGAAATAAGACGACAGGGTAAGAAGAAATAGAGAGTATATCTAAAAAGAAGTGGTATGTGGTGGTGGCTACAGGAACAATTTTAGAAACAGAGAATTAGTATTAATATGAAAGGCACTATCACCACCCCAAGTAATGCAAGTGAGAAGGTCGGGAACAATTCTCAAATTCTAAAACATGCTACAGGGTACTAGCTGAACATTCAGTGGTGCACCCGTGCGCGCATCTGTGTGTGTGTGTGTGTGTGTGTGTGTGTGTTGTTTACGTAAAACACATACTCCTGGAAAAAAATAATATATCTAAAACTTTTTAATCAACACTGTTTGAAGGAGCGCTTACATTTGTCCAAGTGCCCCAAGGTGAATGGACTACAGCTTTGGTAGCGTGTTGTAGTACTTTACAGTCCTAGGATATAGGTCCTAGGGATGCCCAGAGCGAACTCCAACTATTCACAATAAAGTAATAATTTTGTCAAGGTGTAATTTTGAAAACGTTACAGCTATAGCTGCTGCACTTTTTTATACGGATGCTGTGTAACTAACTCATAAGTAATCAAGCGTGCTCATGAGAAGGAAGCATATTTGGAGATAGTTAAGGCATAAAATAAAGAAACCGGTGAGAAGGTGAGTTAGCAGAGAAGCAAAGTGGCCTTGAAGTCTTCAGGAAGAGAGCTGGAGCCCAAGCTTTCTCAGCTGGTGCGGGTTGGGGCGCAGCAGGGAGCCAAGCAGTGTGGCCTGACAGCTGGAAGAGAGAGCGAGAGTGCAAGAGGCAGGGGAAAAGGCGCACCTCCAAATTCAGCATTTCGGATTTTGAGGACTCCTCGGATTCCCCTTCTCCCTGTTCCTCGTCCTGAGAGCGGCGAATGAGTTGCTGGAGCAAGTGGGAGGAGCCTCTGTTCAAAGTACTTTTCGCCCTCTGTCCAGAGGAAAAAAGAGACCAACCAGACTGGTGCCTTTTTTCTGAATTCAACCATGTCGATGGGCCTCCAGCTGATAAAGTGCCCAAGCGTCTCAGGAGAGAGGGCGATCTTATTCCCCGGGGATCTCGCCAGGGTGCCGCCATCTTGTTTAATTTGGTTGCCTAGGAAACTGGCGCAGGAAGGATGCGCCGCAAGGAATTCTGGGGCCTGTAGTCTCCGGCCCTTCGCGAGGGCTCCTCTGGGGCTTTTCTCTCTTCGTTAATTTTCTCTAATCAGCCCAGTCGCTAGCTTTGTTTCCTGTTGCTTGCCTTTCTCATTTCTACCTCTTTTCTTCACATCCTTTTCTTTGTTTTCAGCCGTCTTTCTCCCAACCTGGAGGCTCCCTTTGAGCTTTTGAGCCCAACTTGTATCACAGGTGCATCTGCTGTCCAGCTTGGTTCTCAAGGATTCTTTCGCAGACTCGTGCTTTGGAAGGGTGTGATGTTCCTAATGCTGTCTGTAGGAAAGCTAGTAACACTGAAATGTAACTATGCGGAGCTCAGTACGAGGAGCTGAGGGTGTGCAGAAATAAAGTAGAAGGTATGACTTGTCCTTATGGCTTAATTGTGAATAATAAAGAGAAACTATCAGACGACTTGAGAACTAATTTGTAATTAATAACACACAACCACTACCACCACCACCACCCGTGTGCCAAAATGATAAGCCCTGTCCTTGGGGAGAAAGCCCAGCAGCAGATCCAGGAAGAGAGAGAAAAAATGACTCAAACTGAATGTATCTGAAAGCCCCTGAAAAGCTATTAGCATCCCATAAATAATTGTATTAATTAAGTGACCTGCACTGGTAATTATTTTAATCTTGCAGCATAGCTACTTTTTGCAGTCTTTGAAAATACTCTTTACTAGAATACAAAGCATGATTTTATGCCACTGATTTTTGTAACCCAAATCCCATAGCCTTAAGCTCTGCAAAGTAGATACTCCGTAGAAAAGCAGAATAAAAATTATAGTAACCATTATTGCCCTAGTGATGACAATAGAGATCCTTGGCAGGGAAGTCACCCTCATCCTCTTGGCCTTACAGGGCCTTTTCTCCACGCTTCAGTGACAGCAGTTGCAAATACAAAATGATCCTGTCAATGACTGTCAGGGGAGAAGGAGAAAAAAATCCTTGTGGACACCATCCATTGACTATTATCTTTCTCAGTGCTTGAGGGACCGTTAAAACTGACATAAAGCTTTCAGAATTACCTTCTTCATTATCTTGCTAGTCATAAATGTAAAGGCTGCATGGAAAGTGTCTTTCTGCTGGGCTCATCTTACTTCTTTCCAATAGGCAGATTCCTCCAAGGGATTAATCCCACAGTCACCTCCAAAATGCAATAGAAAAGAACATTTGTGTGTGTGTGTGTGTGTGTGTTTAAATGACTTAATCAGCATTCTAGCAAAGTGAGTTTTGCCAGTGTCAATCTGTTGAGAAAAGTGTCGAAAGGCAGAGTTAGGACTTGTCAAAGAGTAATTTCAAGAAGTTAAAAAAAATTCTCACAAACATTAAAGAAACGTGAAAGATTCTGTTCAACCATCAATTAATAAAGAAATGGAAAAAATTGGTTCTGAGGTATTCAGAATCCACAAGGGAAGACATTCAGAAATAGGTTTGCTGCTGGGTATGATGGTGCAGGTCTGTAATCCCACTACTCAGGAGGCTGAAGCAGGAGTTTTGCTGTGAGTTTGAGATCTGGGCTACGTAAGCAAGTTCAAGGTCAGCCTGCACTACATAGTGAGACCCTATCATAAGAAAGAAAGAAAGAAAGAAAGAAAGAAAGAAAGAAAGAAAGAAAGAAAAAGAAAAAGAAAAAAGAGGAAAGAAAAGGAAAGGAAATTAGGTTTATCAAGTTAGACACAAAACTGGTTAATGCCCTATGAGACGATAAATCTTAGTTTTGGGGGTTGCATATATATTTCTAGATATTTGGTTTCTTTTTTTCTTTACACATACCTCTCTCCTCATTTGATATATATGGCTCAATGGAGTTAAATAACTGGGCGAAAGTCATCTGGTGGGGCTGAAATCCAAGCCCAAAATGACCAAAGCCACAGTCTTCCTTTGACGATCACTTTTGCAGGTGAAAGAAAATATGAGGCAATATAAACAATCAGAGATCTCAGAAGGAAAATTATGTCAGTCTATATTTTTAAGATTAACACAAACGGAGTGTAATTCTAGCACCCTGGAGGTTGAAGCAGGAGGACTGAAAGTGAAAGGCAACTTGGGCAATTTATTTTATTTTATTATATATTAATTTTATTTTAAAAAGAGAAAAGTCAGAAAAGAAAAACAAAAAGCAAAAGACATAAACATCAACAGCAAACTCAAAACAATAACAATATAGGTTTTCAAAACAGAATGGAAGAAACTTAGCAATGGTTATTATATTGCATATTGTTCCCTTTTTTTCAAAGAAAGAAAAGAAAATAGGAAAACAGAAAAGAAGGGTAGAACAATACTGAATTCAAAAAAATTATCATCATAGAATTGCTAGTTGATACACTATTCATTGTCATCTTAAAAAAAAATAGTTGCCAAAGTCACAAAATCAAAGCACACATAGTGGTTAGACACTCAAACACTGACAGTGCAAATCCTTCCGTTCAGTGTTCCAACAGAAATTCAGTAATATGGTCATCTATTTTACACACTATTTATACCATTATACTCTTTAAAGCACTTACTTTCCCTTTCACTTTCACAATATCTATTATACTTTTTGGATCCCATTATTCTGCAGTTTTTATTATTTTATTACTTTTTAGAGGGACAATGTGATATTTACTAATGTGAGCCTTGTTTATTTCACTAAAGAGGATATTTTCAAGTTGCTTCTACTTACCTATAAAGGCCTCAAGATCTGAGTAGTATTCCATTGTATTAAAATACCACATTTTTTCATCCACTCTGCAACTGATGGGCATTTTGGTTGTTTCCAATATTTAGCTATCACGAGCTGTGCTGCACCGAACATGGGTGCACATATATCTCTGTGACATGACCTTTTCCATTTTTCTGGGAAAATACCCAGGAGGGGAATAGCTGAATTGAATTGAATGGAATCCTAGTTTTTTGAGGAACCTCCATACTGATTTCCACAGTGATTGCACCAGTCTGCACTCCCACCAACAGTAGAGAAGTGTTGTTTTTTTTCCCCCCGCAGCCTTGTCAACATGTGCTATCAGTTGATTTCTCTCTTTTTTTTTTTTTTTTTTTTTTTTACCGGTACCGGGGATCGAACTCACGACCGCCTGCTTGCAAGGCAGGTGCTTATGCCGCTGAGCTAAATCCTCAGCCCCATCAGTTGATTTCTTGATGGCAGCCATTCTATCTGTGGTAAGATGAAATCTCATTGCTGTTTTAATTTGCATTTCTCGAATGGCTAAGGATGTTGAACATTTTCTTCATGTATTTATTTGCCGTTTGTATATCTACATCTGAGAACTGTGTGTTCATCTCTGATGCCCAGTTTTGGACAGGATCTTTGAATTTGGGGGGTTTGATGTTTTTCAGTTCTTTATATGTTCTGGATATGAGTCTTTGTCTGAGGGATTGTTGACTAAAATTCTTTCCCAGTCTGTGGGTTTTCTTTTCATTTTGTTGGTGATTTCTTTTGAAGTGCAGAAACTTTTTAGTAATATGAGATCCCAGTCGTTGATTCTTTGAAGTATTTCTATGTGCTTTGCGTTTTATTCGTGAATTTTTTGCCTACCTCTACGTCTTCAAGATTTCTACCTATCTTATCTTCCAGTAGATTTAGTGTTTCTGTTTTAATGTTTACATCCTTGATCCATTTTGACTTGTTTAGTGTATGATGATAGGCATGGGTCTATTTTCAGTCTTCAGCAAGTAGAAAGCCGATTTTTCCAGTACCATTGATTAAAGAGGCTATCTTTTCCCCAATGAACATGTTTAGCCCTTTGTCAAATATCAGGTGGCTGAATGTCTTTGTAGTAGTGTTTGAATCTTCTAATCTGTTCCATTGATCCTCAGGTCTATTTCTTTGCCAGTACTATGCTGATTTTATTGCTGTGGCTTTGCAGTATAGTTTCAGGTCAGGAATTCAGATGCCTCCTATCTTACCTTTATATCCCAGAATTGCTTTTGCTATTCTAGGTTTCTTCTGTTTCCAAATGAATTTTAGGAATATTTTCTCTAGATCTGTAAGGTATGTTGATGGTATTTTGATTGGGATTGCATTGAATCTGTATAATAGTTTTGGGAGTATAGCCATTTTCACAATGTTGGTTCTTCCTAGCCAAGAGCAAGGAATATCCTTCCATTTTCTAATATCCTCTTCAGTCTCCTTTTTTAGAGTAGTATAATTTGCAGCACATAGATCTTTTGCATTCTTGGTTAGGTTGACTCCTAAGTATCTGATTTTTTTAGATGCTATTGTGAAAGGCGATATTTCCATAATTTTTCTCTCTGTGAGTTTTTTGTTTGAGGAGAGGAATGCTATTGATTTTTGAGTGTTGACATTGTATCCAGCTTTGCTGCTGAATTTATCACATCTAGCACTCTTTTAATGGAGTTTTTGGGGTCTTCTATGTACAGTATCATGTCATCTGCAAATAATAATTTAACTTCTTTTTCTATTTTTATTCCTTTTATTTCTCCCTCTTGCCTGATTGCTCTGGCTAATATTTCTAGAACTATATTGAGTAGGAGAGGTGATAGTGGACATCCTTGTCTTGTTCCTGATTTTAGAGTGAAGGATTTCAGTTTTTGTCCACTTAGTATAAAGTTGGCTGTTGGATTGTCATAAATGGCATTTATGAGATTGAGGTACATGCCATCTATTCTGAGTTTCTGTAAGGCTTTTTATCAAAAACAAGCATTGGACTTTCTCAAAAGCTTTTTCTGCATCCATTGAGATGATCATTTGATTTTTATTTTTGGCTCTGTTGATATGGTATATGACATTTATTGATTTGCATATGTTAACCATCCCTACATTCCTAGAATAAATCCTGCTTGGTCATGGTGTATAATCTTATTGATGATTTGCTGCATTATATTTGTCAGTATTTTACTGAGACTCTTTGCATCATTAGTGAGATTGGTCTATAGTTCTCCTTTATAGTTGGGTCTTTCTCTGGT